TGGGAAGTGATCGAAAAAGTGGTCCGATTCGAAACATTTTCACACATAGTCCAGTAATCCTAAAACCCTGGCGCATCAAATTTCATCTAAATGTCTCAAAAATGGGAACATTTATGTTGAGCATCGATATATATATATGGGCAGATGTGAGACGAACAGACAGTTATAAATTTATAAGAATATCTTTGTGGTAGGTGGATCTCACCCAAGTTCTTTTGGACCTTCCATACTTCTCAAAAATCTCTGTATACCCTGTTTACCACAAAAGGTGTAGGCTACAAAAAAAAAGAAAAAAAAATTTAAATTAATTTTTCGGAATATGATTGTAACGATATTGCAAGAAATTCGAATAAAAAGGAATGAAAATTGTTGGGAGTTACGTCGCTTGACATTTTGAATTGAATTGAAATTCGAAAAAAACGGGCAAACAGGCTTGGAGATATGTCTTTTTGTTATTACAATAAATTTTTTTTTGTTATTTTTCTCCATTAAGCTTGCATACTTTTCCCGATTCTCTTTATTCGAAAATTCTTTGTTTATAAAAATCTCTTTTGCTGCATATATGGAAGACCGAATCGACTTTTTACACTTTATATTTTGCGAAATGATGGAGAGAACGTTAAGTAAATTAACAATTCTATAGATGAATTCGTAATTATCTACAAAATCATTTCAGTCTTATATCTACCTATTATTAAATGGTCGCCTCAGTGAAACTACACTAATGTATTCTTGATTGAAAATGCTTTCATTTGAATATAAATACTTTTTAAACACATCTGTGCGTGTATTAACGGATTTAGAAATTAACAGGTAGGACATTAGGCTGTTACTTACCACCGGGAATTCATTTAATAGCGAAAGTCTTTTTAGAGAGCTTACGCGAGAATTAGAAATTTCAAAGAAAAATGTTCTTACAAGTAATGTAAGAACATGTTATGGTACATAACATCTGTTAGACTAATAAAAAAGTCTATCTTCTATCATAGATACATGAAATCTTTTCGATGGCGACATTACTGGAATAGCTTGAAAAAAGCTTATTTTAACAATCTTTTTTTCGGATGTAAAAGAGGATAATAGAAGAATAATATTAGAAGATGTCGTCATTAAATTATTAAAATATATGTATTTAAGTTTTTATTTTTGAAAAATATTAAAAGACTCTGATAAGATCGGAGATATTCGCGCGGCCTGTAACCTATCTGATGAAAATTTGAAAGAAAATATCACTTGATGATAGGTGCCCGGTTAGCTTGCGAAATGTAGAAATTTTCAAGAACCTCGAGTTCTCTGTACTTGGCAAATGTTTGATTGAAAGAATTCAATTTTTGACTGAAAAGAGTCAATCAATCTTCATTTAATACCGTTCAAAATAATTTATGAAAAGTGCCTACATGATTCACTAGCGAATCTTATTTTAAATACATTATACAAGAGTTGAAGTAGCAGATAAAGATATTTTTACGCTTTGAAACTCGTTAAAGTTATGATTTTTATTGCGAAAAATTGTTTATTACTTTTCTCCATTAGTCAGTCTGCTATCCCGGAACTACAAAACTGCTCTCCCCTGTTCAAATATTCCTTTTCATCTTTTTTTCTCGAAGTTTTTTTTTATTCCAGAACGTGCCGTTTTCGGTATATCTGTTAAAAACAGAATCGAAGGTTTTACACTTTCCGTATTGCGAAATGGCAGAGAAAACTGACCATTCTATAATCGAATTTGTACTAAACATAGGAATCTTCATTACAAACTTTTTGTAATGATTTTTTTTTTTTTGCACATATTCTAAATGGTTCAAAGTATGTAGGAAGTCCACAGAAAAAAAAAACAAAAATAGATTTTCGATTTTGAGTTTACAGCGTCGTCACTTCTTAAATGTTTTCTTGACAAAATGTTTGTTGCAAGGACTAGACGGACGACGGGAGGTCGGCCGGGATATGGTAAGGTTGATAAAAGGCAACCTTGACGGGAGTCGTAAAACAGGTGTCTTCAAATCGTCCATGTCGAGTCATAAACGGGTTTGGTCGAGTAGGGAAGTCAGAATCAGGGTTGAGGCGAAAACGACAACCCAAATAAGGCAGAAAAGGAAAACTGATTATTAGACAAGAATAACGAGAGAACGCTCTGAACTGGCAAAGTGTTTGTACAATTTGTAGAAGCTCGATGTAAATTTCTAATTACATGGTCAACGCTGTAAAATGACTAGAACGATTGCGCATTGATTTGGAATGTAATAAGCGTGTCACTTTAATCAATCTACGGTTCTTGAAATGCTTTCGTATTATAATGGAATTTAATATTTATTGATGAATTGTGAGCGAAGTAGTTTCAGGGGGTTTAACGCAGGTGCCTGCCGGAAAGGCTCAACCCTGCGGTGCCCGCTGGCACACGGAGTGAAACGTCACTCACGTCCCACAGGGAGCAGGGAGGCTCCCTGTAGTTCCAGATCAAGGGCATGTGTATGGCATGCCCTTCCTACTGACGGAGGCGAGGCCTATCTAACACCTCAAATATTTAATGTTCCCGCGATATTGGGGGCAACCACAGCCACCACGAGACTCCCCTAGGGGCCGTCCCAGCGGTCAGGCAGAGGACCCACACTACGAGGATTCTGCTGCAGCAAAAACTGCAGCCAGCAATTCCCCGCAGAGAGGATCCCCTGGGCAACCTGACCCCCGTGGTACCTTACTTATTTTAAAAGTCTAAGGTCAGACTTTTGGCAGCATATGGCTACATATCGGTTAGACCCATACGTCTCGGACCGGTGGCCTTGAATTGTGAGCGAAGTAAGAGAATGAATAAACAATGTGAAAACTTCTGAAAGGTCAAACTATTCTTTAAACATTCAAAGAAAACATAAAATTCTTGTGCGCCAGAGCCTTGTGCCGCTGAGCGTACGCCAGCACCAGGAAATGGGTAAAAGCCTTCACAATATACATATATAGGCTTCATAAGCAAGAACAGTTTCGGTTTACTGATCGGCAATTGCTAATACTTTTATAAGTGGAACAATTGTATAAATAGTACTTTGCCTTTCTTTGCAACAGGCCGTGGCTTTATTGTGTTGGTTCATTTGCCTTATTACACATACAACTTTTATTTCCAGTCCTCCCTTTGGTTCAGTGACGCAATCAATATATAGATGATCAACGTTTATTTTCACTGCGTGTGTGTGCATTTGCGTTGGCAAAACAGATCCAATGGCTAACACTTACGTGATGAACTTACATTCGGATGCGCCCGCATTTACAGGGCAGGAGTGCCTGATTTTTTCAATTTTTCTACAGATATTGTAAGATCGTATGCTTCGATGGTGGATATGAACGAAAAAACCCTCTTATTCATTGGAAAATAATTAATAAGTTTTGACAATGAGCTGAAATATTGAGAAATTGTGCAATATTTTACAATATCATTTCAACAAACCGCTATTTGCAAAAAAAAAAGAAAAATTTAATGGATCGACTTTCCATTTACGAGTTGCTGCTGAAACGGAACGCAATCGCCTAACTTTTGAAGAGATTAGTAACGCTCGATGAAAAGTAGGCCACATACGACAATTGGGTAAGAGAAGGTTCCTTGCACAAGCTGGGCGAAAGTGCAACGATAAGAACATCCAAATTGACGATGCCTAAGCCAATGTTTTGCATTTGTTAGGGAATAGTGCATCGTGAACTGATTTAACCTGATTTAACGGGGATCGTCGAGATCTACCGCCCGACTACCTCCAGTTTAAATCTCAATCGAGCACTCTTCACGATGTGAAGATGGCTTTAATAGAGATCTGTCAGAGTTGCTTCATTTTCAATTTTTCTTTCAGAAGTTCTAGATAGAAAAATGGTAAAAAAGCAATTAAAAATCAAGATGGCACACTTATATAATTCAGTCAAGTTGATGTGGAATATAAGAAAAATGTGAAGAATACCAAGTAGATGGGATATATATTGAAAGATAGAACATGGGTCAATAAGTTCTGAGGTTGAGCAACGAAAGACATTTTTTTCGCCCATACTCATCAATATTAATCTCATTCTCTCTTCGATGAGCAATAATAATTTTCAAGGTCTTTTTCAAGGCTTTCACGTCTTTTGTTTTACCATCTGCATTCGGCATCATTGGCAACCGTGCAACCTCGTTTAAAGTTAGTGTACCACCGGCACATTGCTGTTTCCCACCGAGAAAAGTTCCCATTTTCCCAGTTGTTACGTTTAAATGATATTTTTTCCCATCAAAAATGAATACTTAATGAACACAAGAAATTCGGATGTTTTCAATGTTTCGAAAATAACAAAATTAGTTTCGAAACGACATGAAATTTGGAAGAGAATTATATAAGGATTCGTATTTTCTACTTTTTTTTATTAGAGACCACATATGTTCCTGTTTCATTTCCGAGATGTATTAACCGAGACGTAACTATTATTATTACATATTATTGCAAATATGAAATAAAGTTACACTGCTATAGGTTTTTCTCGTTATCGTAGCACATGGTATCCTGTTTATATAATCAAAACCCACCCTTATGCTATACAGACCGACTTTGAAGTTTATTCTGTTTTCATAATTCTCCTTTTAAATTGCGCTATTGTGCGAGCAGAGAATTATGGAAAGAAATGTTGATTAATGGAACTCCGTTATTTTATGGGACACTATTCTCTTGTAAAGAGTAGAGAAAAAGCCGACCGACCGAAATCCCCTGCGCGTATACACGCGGACTTTACAACCCTTTGGTTGGTTTAAAATTTGCATTTGAACGGTGCTATTAATTCCGAGCCAATAACAGTACGCAGGTATTTTTTAATAAACGCAAACGTTTGCTGCTAGGTCTCAAATATTAACCACATGAGTGCGTTTTGTTTGTCAAAAGCCACACGAAAAAAAAAGGATTATCCAATTTCTCCATAGCTAACTCCATGAACTTTCTTTATATTTTGCATATTTATAGTCATTCCTAATTCAGATGAAAATAAAAAGGAACCGAAATGCTCGATTTTGCTAAATATTTTACTAATTTTGCTAGGTATACATACTCCTTTGTTGTTATTGTCGGTAGTTAGAAATATAATATATAACAACTTCCCTCTGGCAACGGCAGGTAGACGTTAAGCTTTAGATATGTTTTTATAAATTTATGCTTTATTACTTTCATCAGTCTTAAATACATAATTTTCCTGTAAGCTTTTCTATTCCTACATGAAATTATTTGCAACTTACAAGATTTGCAAAAACTATATGTTTATATTTTATAAGCGTTTGCAATATAGAGAACAACAAGAAAGGGGATAACGACATATGAAGAATTTTGCTTTCACTTTTGTATTCAACTAACTTTTATACACGTGTTTGCATTCAAGATATATTTTTGCATTGCTTTGTGTGATTTTATGTTGAAATGCTTGAAATTTCAATTCAGAGTTCAGAGTTGCACAAAAGTGGAGGTATAAGAATTTGATTTCGGAATGTATTTGCGGTTTTTGCCAAATAAGCGTTCAAAGATTCTCCGCTTTTCAACATAATTGGTTTTGTTTAAGGTGAGATTTAAAAATTCCTTAAATTTGATTCACGCTAAGGCTTTTAACTAATTTTAAAGGTAATTGTTTAATTATTAAATATATTACTAAATATATTTTCGCCAAACGCCCCGCTGTTGCGACCGTGGAAGAGTTTCCTTTTAATCATTATTTATAATGTGTGCGTATTGACAAATGCTATTTTACTCTCAGAGATTTCTTTGACCATTCTTTATCTGTCATCATTTTTGCAACTCTTCTTTGCATTGTTATTGTTTTTTTCTATCCATCACCGAAGCATGAGGGATATATTAATTTACAAAGTGTTTGCAACGTCCACAAGAAAGTTTCAGAGACCCCAAAAAAAAGTATATATTCTTGATCAGTAGGTCTGTCGGTCCATGTAATGACAGTTGTAAACATTTTTCTGGCAGCAAAAATGAAGCTATCGACTACGAATTTGTAAAAGAAGTTCAAAATGACCTAAACCGGTCAACCGACCCAACGCTCACAATAAAAATGATGAACGTTTTTTGCCATATAAATTTCTACGTTTATTCTGGAAGTAGAAAAAATCATCTGCGTCTATAGATATAAAAATTTAATTCTCTCGCTAGTAGCCTTTTTTAGTATCACGGTAGATCCGCCTGGGTGGCCGAGTAGGCAAGAGTCTCGACTAGCAACTCAGTGGTCGTGGGTTCGAATCTCAAGTGTGGTAGAGTTTTTAATAAAAATAAAGGCCGATAGCCTTAGATGCTAGTGCTTTTAAGAGTTTAGTCTTAGAATTTATTTCTCTGGAGAAATTATTAATAATAATAATAATAATAGTATCACGGTAATGGGTATAAAAGATTCGGTCACTATCGAATTTAATTTTCTTATTTGTTTACTTTACTCATTGCTGCGTATCTGAAAAAGAGAGAAAGACGTACAGAGAGAATCACCACATGTAAATCTAAACGTTTTCTAGATTGTTTCATAGGCATGTGAACGAAATTTGTTTCTCTCAGAGCAAACAAAATTTAACAATAACAAAATGTCAACAGGGCATTTGCTTGCTTTTCTCTTTCTCTTCGCTTTTTTAACTCTTTGAAAAATTTAGTTGAAATAATTTAGGTAAATATATTAATGCTGAGAAGCAAGAAATAAATAAATAACTTGTTACTGACTGAGTAAGGAAGTGTTCTCGGCGGATAGTGTTATCTAAAAGGTGATTTACAAACGCATAAAAGAAACAAAAAAAAGAAAGCTTATGGCAAAACCATTCACTAAAAATTATTCTAAAAATATAAAATTAAATAAAATTATAATAATAATTATAAAATAACAAATATAAATAATAATTACAATAATTTAAATCGATGTTTAAAAACTTAGAATTTTGTATTGCCGTTTTCTATTGAGGAGCGTGTAAATTTATTTTTCACAAGGTGTTATTTTTTCTGTATTTTAAAAACCATGAAATGGAATATGCGATTTTAACATATATACATAACATGGGTAACCTTAGCATACTTTCAGTTAATTTAATGTATACATTTCATTAAAAAAGTACGTTTTCTTTACAAAAAAGCCGAAAGAAGGATATTCCATTTTAAATAATCCGGTGCGCTGTTCGCGAGTAATGGCTGGGAGGGGGACGGAGAGGAAAGTGTACGTAATATTAATTAGCGTGTGGTTTTTACTCAATTTAAATGAGGCTGACGTATGTCGATGAATATACACTATCAGAGCAGATTCGAATATAAATGGAATTTACCAAAACACCTACCTTATTAAAAAAATTGACAAATCTGAAAAATATGAAAACTTTGACTTGAGTAAATTATGCACTGTAAAACTATTATACTGAAATTTGAAATATTACGATCAATTGATTGAAGCGCCCTCAATTACGAAAACGCAATCTTTCATATAATTATATATAACAATCGTGTTTTTCATATGTTTGTACGATGTGTTATATGTGCATACAATGTGAACTAAAAGCGAACAACGTTCAAGTAACTTAAGTGAATGAAGAATCCTACATGATATACAACCACATATTTACACACATGTTTTTATATATATGTGCATGTATATGTATATAATTAAAAATTTTTTGTTTTATTAAGTCGATAGTGATTACAAAATTTTTTACATTTATTTTAGAAGTTTCAATAAAGGCAAAACAGCTGCGGTAAAGGCAGTTAAGAAAAAATCAAAATTAAACGAGCAAGGTGTACGTACGTACGTTATTCGTTTTTGTATTGATTTAGTTAAAAGCTGTGGGAATTTTCCATTCATTTCGCAAGAGGAAACAAAATGGTTTTAACCAATTTCGAAATGTGGGCGGCTGACAGTGTTCCGGCCAGTGAGGTACTATTGGAACTTGAAAACACTGCACGTTCACGACACCTGAATCCTTTCAATCCTTTACATCATTATCATCATAGCCATCATCATCATCAGCCAAATCTTACGCATCTATCTTCAAATGGTTATTACGGGTTTTCTTATATTAATTCTACGCATGATATGGAAATGAACAATAACAACGACAGTGATAACAATAATGTAGATGAAAATCATAACAATAGTGTTACACAAGATTTAATGGGAAATGATGTTAATAGTGATAACATCAATAATAATCGCAGAGTAAATACTGTTGAGTTACGTTGCAAGAAAAGGTGTCTTATTTCCATAAATAACACCGAGAATGATTACAGCAATGAAACCCGAAATAATTATCAGTCATCATTATCGCCATCTGCTAAGCGTTGTCGTTACGATAATGACGACTTCACTGCCGCACAACATTGCAATGGTAAGTAGATATAAGATTGATATATTTGTTGATTTTAATGATCGTGTTTCGTGTTCTTACCTCTGCAAATTTCAATTGTTCTTGCTATTTCTCCCAAACGATTTTTCCGCCCTTCTTAACTTAACAATCATTTTTCCATGCTCTTAAGAAGTTTTCTTACGTTTTTGTATACTTTATGTTATATTTAGGAAAAGAAATAAAGAAAACTCACTTTAATTGATAAATGTATGAAAATATGAACAAAAACTAAGTGCTGTTAACTAAAATCGTTTTTTTTTTTATTCAAATCTTCTAATGATATGTTTTCGTTGCGTGCACATTTTGTTGTGTTTTGTTGGTAATGAAGTATATTTTTTGTTTATAACTTTATCTTAAGTAAAAAAAAAAATCTTGAATTGTTATTTAATATAAGTTTTTGTTTCTTAAGAATTTTTTTTTTTTTTTACTCTGACCCCATAATGATAGTCTTTATTAAGAAAAACATTCTTTTTTCGTAGTGTATGTAGACTTCATTGGGCCACTGTGTACTCTAAGCGAAAGGAAATTTTGATATGGATATAAATATAAATTTTTTTTGGAAAATTGGAATAATGTGCCGAAGCACATTTCAATCTAGCGCAAGTTTTTATTTTAGGTTTAGTCAATAAGTGAATTGACCAACTTATGTTTATTCGGAATTTCAATAATTTTTTTTTTTGAATATTTTAAAGAAATATAAATGTGTTGTAAACTATTATTACATAATTTATAAACAATTTACATACATTTACATATATTTTACATTTATATACACACACATATGCATACGCACGCATATCTATATATATAAATATATTTTATTAACAAATAAAAAAACTATGTATTTGTTTTCACATAGCATTTGCTTACTTAGGTTTATTACATGTATCGCTTATATGTGAATTTATAGGTAAGCAGTTAGGTAAATAACTAATTCAAGCCAGTTGTCGAGTTGAACAGCTTTACTTAAAATTAAAATGAACGCATGGGAAAGTCTATCGGGACAAATAGGCGGATGCATAATTTCGTTCGGGACAAGCCTTGAATTAATTCATGCCTTATGCGTCAATATCGTATTACGAATTTCTTAAGATATTTATAAATGAGTTCACAACTTTCTGTTGCGACCATGAATTTTATTTATACAATGTGTGAATATTAAATGGTAAGGAAAAAA